GGAGCAGCTATAGCAATGGAAAGACAGATTCCAACACCTAGAGCTGGTCTCTCAGATCTCTTGTACCCTAAATTAAGACCACAAAGAGCATACTGTGCAAAGCAATTGACATGAAGTAACAGAACAACAACCATCATATGTGCCCATTCATGGGGTTTGTAACTCCCATTCTTGCAGTATATTTTCCGGAGTCTGGAGATGTCCTTCGGCTTCCACCTACAGAGAAGAACAAGGTGGTGGAACCTCTTAGGATGTTGGTAGAGAGACATGAGAGTGAAGAGAGCGTTGAGGATTTGATTGTTAACCTCAAACCAGGCATCTTTCTGTGATTTGTTAGGCAAGACATTGTTCAACATTCCTGTCATCACAAGAAAAAGTATAGCCCCAGAAACAGCAACACAAATAATCCACAGAAAGAGTACCATGTTCAAAGGATTCTTAATCCATTGCTTGCACATATTCCACAGAGAGTTCCAGTCAATCTTCCGAGCAAGAATACCATTGAGACGTTCTCCAAAACCTTGGCTGGTGAAAGAAGGTACAGAACGGGAAATTTCATCTTTCTCCACCGCAATCTGCTGAATTTTCACAGAAGGGGAAACTAATTCGCCACCGAAACTACATCTTGGTAACCTTAACCTGCTTGGGACAATGGGTAATTTCCCCTTAGGTGTATCTGTAATGGGTTTTTCATCACTCAAAAGTCCCTTCCTAGATGTTGACACAGAAAGACCTTTCTGGGCAATGGCATCGTAAACATCTACATGAACTTCTGCTAAGCCCTCATCGTTTCTCTCTGAAACCATTCTTCCACAAGAAAATGGAAGAGCTTTCTTAATTTCTTAAAGTTCTAAAGCGTACAAGGCACAACTGCTGACTGCAAACTGAAGTAGAGGAAGACATCTTAGCTCAAAATTCAGCTAAATCTAATATAATGGCAATGGAAACCTTAAAAAAGAGCAATTCTTCAACATAATTGTTTGGATGGATGCAGGTTCCGTTGAAAATATAAATCAAATTATAAGAAAGTAATGATAAATTGGATGTGCAAGAACTACTCCAAAAACGAAAGTAGATAACAGACTAACATAAAGGAAACTAACAATTTTAGATTAAACGTACCTCAGTCTGCTGGCACTGATAGGAGAAACGGACAGGACACCTCGCCTGATATCTCTCCTTGTCTGGAAAGGCCTTTTGAAGGAAGGGAACGAGCCCCACTTACCGCTTACACAAAGAACTTACTTTGAATTCAAATTTTGAACGGGAGATTGTGGGCCTTCCCGCCCTCTTTTCTTCCCTGTCTTTATCATCTGCAATCATTCTTTGTTAGTTTCTCTTATTGCTTTGGGCCAGCCTACGATCTTAACCACATTTTTTTGAAAAGAAAAATTAAGTAAAATGCAAGGCTTAATAAACTAAAGAAAATGTGGTTAAGGTAGTAGTCTGGCCAAAAACCTATTTTTTAATTTAAAAAAAACCTAAAGATTATTTATTTAGTCTACTAAATCCTGACAGTTCGACCAAGTCAATCCTCGACTTCATCAAGGTCAGCCCATAATTAGCCCAAAGATCCCTTGGTCTGGGCCAGTCCCCAATCCTAGAACTATTGACCGGTTCCAGTCTCGGGCCCAAACCAACCCAATTGCCATGTACGGTTAGCTTCGTACAAACACAAATATAAATAAATAGTGTTACTACAACCATTAAAATCACTAACTTGGCCTAAAAAATATTAAAAATGTACCTAAAATGTTCTCACCAGAGGGAAAACGAAATCCAGAAATCATAGCGAAAGCAGTTCTGCACTCAATAAAAAAAAAAAAAATCTTAAATTCCAGTTCCGAATAAATCTAACGTCTTTCGAGTGCCATCTGCTTGTTACAACACACTTGCAATATAACAATCAACTCCAATTGACTCTTTCATACGGATGCCTCAAGCCAACAATTTTAAAAAACAAAAGAGTGAATATACAATTTTAGATGACTCTTTCTGATGCCAAATCAAGGAGGGTGCGGAAAAACCGATGAGGATACATGGGAGGTTGCTCTGCTAGTGCCTGAGATTAATACAGCAAGATTGAGCACGTTAGCAAATAAACAATATACAGACTCTACTTTTATAATGCAAGATTGTAATTGTAATTGTAATGGGTTGTTGGTGTAAGATTTATTAAAGGATGCACTTTGAAAGCTGATGAGCCAAGAGACCTTCTTTTAACTGCCAGAAACATCTAAATCAGAGCAACATAGCATCAATTTCAGGTTCTTATTTATTTACCTGGTGAATCAAAACTGTTGAAGGAGTCATTCCGGGCACAGTGTTGGCCTCAATGACCAGGACCTGCAGATAATGAACTAGAACTTGATGATACTTGAATATAGAACTCAATTGCATAAGATCAGTCAACACACGAAAATGGAAATATTAGTCTAATTTATCACTAGTAGTTGGCAGGGACAAATGAAGCCGGTTTTCATCTATTTTGCAGGAGAAGCATTGAAAGGATGGGAAGATCATGGTATGATAGGATCACTGACGTTGGCCAATGAGAAAGAAGAACACACATCTGATCTCAAAGAAATTAGAGGAAGAAAATAAAATCACAAGCTAATCTAGTGTATACCTTATCACGTCATAAAATCAACATACCTCTCCACTATCAACATTAACAAATGCATCAATTCTTGAAAATCCTTCCAATTGCAGTGTATTAGCAATCAATTCAATACGTTTTTCACATTGCTCCAGAGCTTCGTTACTGATTCAAACAGGAAACATCAGTTAAACTAAATAACCAGTACTAGAAAAAAAAGACAGTATATAAATATGCCTTAATACATTCTTACAATATAAAGAACAATAAGCTAGAAATTGTGTGCTTCTGTCTTGGACAGACCCTCCATTGCTATAAATAGCAAGGGGATAAATGAATTTTGGATCTTAATCAATCTAAAAGGTATGGCACCAGTATATATCTACTACCACGTCCTATGGAAGACAAATTACTGATACAGGCATCAAATCATCATCACTAACTTATAAGGAAATGCATAAAGGCATTATATTGCTAATCAGTACCACTCATTAATGGAGGAATCTGAAGGAAATCTGTCCTAAATATTGCATGATTGAAATTGTTAATTTGTTAGCTTTATAAACAAAGGACTTCCAACTTTATAACTGAGAATCCTCGACAAACCTTATGATTGATGTAGGCGGTGGGGTAAGATTGATGCCTGTTCCACCTGTCAATCAAAAACTACATGAGTATGCCAGAAAATCCATTTCACACAAAAGCATATGTGGGACAAACCATGTAAAGCATGATGGAAAAAATATGCATAATCATGTCTAACTGAGCACCAGAAAAGCACTCTAACGATAGCAAGTAGAGCAGATGGGAGGCTGGCAGTCTCATCTCCTTATCCAATTAGTTGTTTCATTTTTACATGCTTCAAGAAATTTCTCAAAGACATTAAATTAGCACGATGCTGACCTGCAAGCAGAACGTAAAAAACAAAGAAAAAAAATATTACTCAAAAAGTCATGACAATCTACACTTCAATGACCTTGAAATTTCTCCTCAAGTGACAAAATGTCACCAGTTTCCTTGACAGTAATACTAGGACTCAATGAGTGCATCATTCCACGTTTCCCAATAACACCAACCGTCACTTCTACCCATTGGCTCTGTCCTTTCCACTTGAGCCTTTGTGCATTTCCATTAGTAGATGTAGATAAAACAACAATATCATCTGTCTCCACAAAAGGTTCAAAAATCAGGACTTCAGGAGGAGGGTTGGGCATCTCAATCATCCCATGTGCCTAAGCATATAGAAAAGGTTAAAATTCAAAAGACAAAAATTGATGAGTATCATTCTATACAAGCAACATTCAAGAAAGAAGAATTTCTATAAATTTTAACATATCCACTGCAAGCTTAAAGATATTTAACCTTAATCACTTTAGAGGGGTCCACTTACTCAACAATTCATGAATTTGAGGGGAAGTAACACATTAATTATATAACTAGTTGATTTCCAAAACTCCCCTGCCACTTTTCACCTCTAATTCAAGTAGAGAACCAGCTCTCCATTTTCTTTTCTTTTCTTTTCTTTTCTTTTCTTCTCTCTCTCTCTCTCTCTTAAGTAACCTTGCTCATCAAGGTGCCTGAGTCAAATATTCATCTTTCTAGAGCTTCTGAATAGTTATGCCCTTATACCTTAGAAAAACTGTTAGGAGGAATTCTCAAAAGGCAGTCCTTCAAGGCTTTTACATACACTGCGAGGTCCTCTGCACCACTGCATGGAGAAATGTAGAGGACCATATGATTAATAAATGTTATAGTAGGATATCATCTTGTGCAGATGAAGATTTTTATAAACATTTCAGTTGGCCAAATGGAAGAAGCCTGAAAGTGCAAACCTACCATAATCTTGCAACACCAGTAGAGCATCCATCCCGTGCTGGTTTAACACATAATGTTTCACACTGAAGCTTTGAGAGCAAGTCATCCCAAATCTGAACTATTGGCATCTTAAATAAATCCTCTTTTTGTTTCACCTCTTTATTTATTGTAAGAACTCCCCTGTCCACCAGCTGTAAGATTTCCAGAGACCATAAGCTTTTGCATATAAGTATCTAGAAAATACAACAATTAGAAAGATAACCCTATTCTCTTTTTTAGATTCCACCATACATGATTTAGAGCCAGAGATGTTGCAACTTTATCCATGCAAATCTTGGATGCCATTACACCAGGACCTTCAGATTGAAAGAGGAGAAATGGAAAAGAAGCTGATTTCATTTTAGAAGAAGGTGGAGTGTTAATTTATTGAGTAGGAAAAAAAAAAAAAAAATGGAACCTGTGTAAGGAACTCCTTCAGCCTCCAGTAATGACTGAAGTGTACCATCTTCACCAATGCCTCCATGTACTGCATTTCAAATTAGAGAAGTCTTATAAAGAGGAATAATAACAGCTTGACCTTTCAACTGAGAAGCTGAAACAAGCTCAAGTGGTCCTAAACAAAAGCTCCTTAAATGCCACATACAACCGAGTTTCTACTCTCTTACTTTTTGTGTATGCCACCAGGGGAAAGTTAAAGGGCAGTATTAACTTTAAGAAGTCCGACAGAGAAAGCTAGTACTGCTATAATAATTTCAAGGAAAATGAGCTTTTTAATAGCAGTCAAGAGAAGATTATTTTCAAACATGCAAGTTGCAGCAGATGATTTCTTCTTTTTCAATTTTTTTTTTTCCTTTGATGGATCATATGATTTCTTCTTGGTAATGAACCATTCTATAGAAACAAATTTATGTCACAGAAACAAAACCTGCAATGAAAACAGTTGCTTGAACTTCTTTGGCAAGCTTGATCCACTCCTTCAATGAAAATCTCACAGGCTGTTCATCAGCTATGTCAAATCCTCTAAACCAACTTTGTTTCTTCAAACCATCCATGAGATCATTCATAACTTGGTTTCGTAAGTGCGATGTCAAGGCAGCCCGAGCTGGTTCAATTGCCTCCAAACATGCATCAAGAACTTCCTCTGTAGTGTGTCTCAACACAAGAGAGTAACTGTATTCAAAAATGGAAAAGAAAGACCATGAAAACAAGGTGGTCTACTTGACCATAAAAGGGAAACATGAATTTCTCTCTGTACACTAAGAACAGAAATGGACATGGTCTTAGACATAAAAACTATACTTACGGTAATGACCAAACTGCTCTGGAACTGACATCAGAATCATTTTTAGCAGAATCTGCACCAGATGAATGGTCAATTCGAGAAGCAAGCAAACAAGGCGTTACATCCAGCTGTCGACACCAAACAGACAAACTCAGGGAGTATAACTTTCTCTATTTCACAATCAAACTTCAAGCATAACTTTTCCTTCTACAATAAGTCAAGCTAATGTTATAATGTGCAATAATGCCAGACCCATTAACTCAAAGGGCCATAAATCATTGGAACAGAATTGTACTGTTAGCTCAAGCCCTGATAATTTTTTTTAAAATTTTATTAACCAATGAAAATTGGTGCACATTCAAAACATTATGTTTACTGATCTATTGGTAGCAAAAATTAATGAAACTTACATCATCAAATGCCAGTAAGTTGAGCCAAACATTTGTTCCACTCATGAGGGATACTTGCCGCTCTGATGTGTCTCCTCCAAAGATGACAAAAACTTTACGAATGCCTTGAAGTTGTTTGGATGTATCAGTAGGCTTTGAGGATCTCAATCTTCTAGGTGCATGACTTGATTTACTACTATATGTTGCAAGCTTGGGGAACCTCAAGCAAGCACGATGGATAATGCTACGCAGAATGTTTGAGTGAGAAAATCCAACCTGAAAATGGAACATAGTTTTTGGAGTAAAGTAGTGGTTCAGATTCTTCATAGAAAAGAATTAAAGGATGATTAACTGAAATGGATATAAAAAGTCAGTTTGACAAAAGCATATAAAACAACAACAGATTAAAGCTATCTGGCTTAAATACCATTTATGCAACATGATTTGCAAAGCAATTGAACAGGAGATCTCTGACAAGATTCTTTAATTATTAAGTCATGACATATGAGGCAGCTTTGATGAATTCCAGGGTTTGGCTCATGATCCATGACATGTTTCTTAGCTTTATATACAACTTAATATTGTAATAAAATATATGATATTTCAAATGTATGCATTTTATAAGGTTGGTTTTATGGTCCATGGCAGGAAAAATGATAAATAATTACTCATGTGAACTTGGAGGTTATGTTGACAACTTTCACCACTACTCGCAGGTACACATGAGTCCATGACTGTATATCTGTATCTGTTGTGCATTAATAAGTACCTTGGAAGCTTGCTGAAACAAAAAACTGGTCTGTTCCATCCCACTAATCTGAAAGAAACAAGAAGTATGAGATATATAAAGAGCATCACAGTAGTTAACCACCATTGGAAAGAATCAAAGATCAATCTTACCAGGTTAATGTCAGTAAATAAAATTGTACCCGATTCAGTCTTTCCAAATTTGTTTTCAGAAGAAGATAAGAAATAAGTGGTAGAAGGCAAAAACCATCCATCAATCCGAGCAAAATCACGTAGGCCAAGTCGTTGAAATAACAGAGATGCGCCTTCACGAATACTTTCAATTACATCAACAGGAAAACGAGGAGGAGTGTGGTAGGCAACCTGCAAGGAACAAATAAACATTTCAAGAAAAAAATGAAGTGTTTCACTCATCAATTATTACAACTCAAAGAGCAAATGTGGTCTACACCCATTCTGAAATTAATAAGCCGTTGTGATAGGAAATGTTAAGGTTACTGGACCTGTTGTGTGGGAAGATACTTCCTCCGATAATTGAAAATAGCATCCTTCTCTTTTACATCACCACTACCATGAAATTGAAGCGCCACCTGGTCACAGATGCCATTTTAAATAACCTACTGGGATAAGTTAATGCTAATTTATTCATCTGGAGGAAGACAACAAGCAAGATATTTCACTATGATTTATCCAAAAGAAGTGTTGAAATAACTCCTATTACCAACTGCTTTGGTAAAGACATGGGAGACTAGACAAAGAGGCTTGGGAAGACCTGAACTGAGAGCTTGGGGTAATATGAAACTACTACACTGCACCTAAGTTCTCATTACAATAAAAAGAACCAAAATGCAAACAAGTATTTGAATCCAATTACCTCAGTTGGCAGTAGCACCACAGGATGGCAATCAAAACCAGACCCCACATCAAGGACAATGGCAGTAAATTCACTCCCTCCTTCAAGAAATAACTCAATGAGGACTCTATCATCAATCCCCTATCAAATAAAAGTCCACAAAGTCATTAGAGTACAATATGGCACTTGTAGACAATGATTTTCTAGAATTAATTTGCAGGAAAGTTTTTCCTCTCGCAGAATCCAAAAGTAATTACGTTAGCAAAATCTTCAGCAGCATTCAGCACAAAGTATGATTTTGAAGTTCTACCTTTTACCTTCATTCATTTAAAGTACTGAATTATTTCCAAACCTTTCTTCCTTTCCAATAGGGATATTCAAAACTAAAATGGATATCTCAGTATATTTAGCAGAATATTTGGGAAAAAAAAAATGAGGCCAACATTTAAATCAAACTGATCAAGGCAACCTTTTGATTTGGTCGAAGATATAGCATAACAACTGAGGATTCAAAATGACATCAAAATCTCAAATACCTTTGAAATAATTTCTTTAGCCTTTTGAAGAGAATCAGCAACTCCATACCCAACAGTGACACCAATGCTTGATCCCGCTCTTGTGGGTTTTACCTGGAGAAAAACATTTTAAAGTACAATATCAGAGACTTCAAAGTATTGAACTATATGAGCATGAATCTTAATGAAAGATTAAACTCAAGACCAGGAAACACGACTTACCACAACTTTCCCTGAGTTAAAGTCCAACTGATTTCTCGCAAACCACTTGGATAATTCAGGTTCAATTGCTTCAGTTCCCTAAATGCCATTATATTTTTGCATCACATATATAAGGCTATGAGAAAATGCATTCATAATTAAAGTCACTATTATAATTTTACATCCTTAACAACAACACCCTGCTACTAAAAGAAAAATAAGTCTGCAAACTTCTCAAAAGATGGTCGCCCTCCTGAGTTTAGGATCATAAATGGCATATAACAGCAAACAAAGGGGGAAAAAAGAGGAAGAAGAAAAGAATAGGTAAGGAAAATAAAACAGGTTTCCTGAATGCTTCAAGTTTTGACTAAAAGGATTTCAACCCAAACACAATAAAAGAAGTGTGGCTAGAGAACAATCACCGGCAGGTTCATGAATCATGATTGATTATTAGATTTGAAATGCTAACAAATTATGGTATAGTATTCTATTGGTAAGGCCAAACCAGAGGAGACCTCCAATTCTTAAAGAAGCACCCAAAAATTTTCACTAAAATTGATAGAAGTTAAAAAGTTGAATGAATTCAATAGGAAGATTTTTCTTGTGAAATATGAAATCGGTCTTGGTATAAAAAAAAAAAAAAAAGGAGAAACAATCACACCTTTTTGTATTTTGACGATAAAGACGAAAAAAAAAAAAAACCTTGCCCTAGGATGAAGATTTTTTTTTTTCTAATGTTTTAATTCTTCATCCTATAACCGGACCTTTAGGTCTAATAATTCGATTTTAAGTCTTAAGTGCTTAGGTAAGGTGGTTAAAGTTTCGAACTTTACTACTGTCGTGAACTTCACCAAATGCAACTCGATAGCCGTGCACCTCATTTGAGGAGGTAGAATATTTACTCGATTTGGGGATCGAATCCCTAGTTGCTAACAATTAATTTAAACTGACTTCCTAACCATTACCCTAGTAAAAAAAAAAATTAAAACATTAGAAAAAAATCAATATAAAATAAAATCACAAGACTTAATATCGTAAAATCGAAATGGAGTCAACTTTGCCCAATTAGTTGAAATAGTTTTAAAACTCTACTTTAAAAAAACTTTTATGAGTCCAGTTTTTCGTACTGAACTACGTAAAAAGAGTTATTAGATTTGTAAAAATATAAAAGATTTTAAGATAAAAAATATATTTTAGTGCAAGATAAATTTTAAAATATATTTTTAATACATAAAATTAAAAATTTTTAACACTTTTGTCTTATAATTTATTTAACAAATAAATTCATATTTTTTAAAAATAATTTTATCATAAAAAAAATCACACTATAAATATAAAATTTGCAAGCTACACAAACTAAAAAAACTAGTTGAACGTTGGAAAATATCTAAAGCATAATCGTATAATTGATGAAACTAATTTCATTTAACTTAATCAAATAGTTCAGTTTAAATTAGCTAATTTTCATTAAAAAAAAGTTTAAACTAGCTTTCTTTTTTTTTTTCTTTTTTTCTTTTTTTCTTTTCTTTTTTTTGGTTACTAGTACTTAATACCTTTATGGGACCCGGCATGTTAAATAAGAATTTAAGGGTGTATTTGGTTAGATGGTCATTTTGTGAAGAAAGT